AATGAGTCACAGTATTAAATCAGGCTTTAAAAGTCACCCATCAAAGAAACACCCAGAACCAGATGGCTTCATAACTGAATTCTGTGAAATATTTTTTTAAAAACTAATACCAATTCCACTCAAACTCTTCCAGAGAATTGAAGAAGGAATACTTCCAAACTCATTTTTGAGGCTGCATTACTCTGGCATGAAAACTGGACAAAGACACTATAAGAAAAGAAAACTACAGGCCAGTATCACTGATGAACAGATGTAGAATTTCTCAACAAAATACTGGCAAACCATATTTAACAGTACTTTAAAAGGATCATTCACCATGATTAAGTGGGATTTATCTCTGGGATGCCAGTTTGGTTCAACATATGCAAACCAATAAATGTGATTCACCACACTAACAGAATGAAGGACAAAAAGTATCTGATCTCTCAACTGATGCAGAGAAAGCACTTGACAAAATTCAGTTTCCTCTTATGATAAAATTGATATAGAAGGAATGCTCCTCCAAACAATTAAGGTTGTATATAAAAAAGCCTACAGCTAACATTGTACTCAACAGTGAAAAATTGAAAGCTTTTCCTCTAAGATCAGGAACAAGACAAGGATACCATTCTCACCATCTCTGTTCAACACAGTACTGGAAATCTGAGCCAGAAGAATTAGGCATGAAAAAAAAAGGCATCTGTATAGGAAAGGAAGAAGTGAAATTATCTCTTTTGCTGACAACATCATATTTTATATAGAAAATTCAGAAGACTTCACCAAAAAACTGTTAGAACTAATGAACTAATTCAGCAAAGTTGCAGAACACAAAATTAATCCTGCCATTACAAAGCAGCCATAGACAATTCATAAATGAATGAGTGTGGCTGTGATCAGTAAAACTTTATGGACACTGAAGCTTGAATTTCAAACAATTTTCATGAGTCATGAAATATTATTCTTTTAATTTCTTCTTAATCATTAAAAATATAAAAACAATTCTTAGTTCATAGGCCTTTCAAACACAGATAGCATTATCTCAAATTTATACTTCAACAATTACAAATTATTTTAAACTCGTTTGTGTTTTGAGTGTGCATAGCCCCTTTGACAATAAGGTCTACATACTTATTTTCTAGTGAAATATATAGTAGAGATCAGAAAGTAACTCTGTTGGCTTGCAAGGCTGAAATTTAGTAGGTAAGTTCCACCCTGACTTTGGAGTCCGGTGATGCAGTGTAATGATTAAACACATGTAGCTGACCTTTTCGGAGGGTCAGTTGGGTGTATCCCAGAAATCACTCCAGGAAGGCATTTTCTAATTCTGACCAACCTTTCCTTCTTAAACACCCCTTTGAAGACATTGCTGTAGTAAATCCTAATAAAACACAGTGTATGGAAGGTAAGAGAAGAAAATAAACAGGGGTATGGCAATGCTAGAGCTAACAAATCACTTACAAGTTTCCGCATAAGTCATCAGACCATGGGTTAATTATTTGTAAATATTTGTAAAAAATCTTTAATCGTAAATGTATATGTATATATTTATTTATAAATAATTAATATATATACGCTTATTTATTTATTTATTTATTTAGAGGCAGGGTCTTACTCTGTCACCCAGACTGGAGTGCAGTGGCATGATCACTGCTCACTGCAGCCTGGACCTCATGGGCTCAGGCGATCCTCCCATTTCAGACTCCCAGATAGCTGAGACTACAGGTATGTGCAACCATGCATAGCTAATTTTTGTATTTGAGTAGAGATGAGGTTTTGCCATATTGTCCACGTTGGTTTCCCACTCCTGGGCTGAAGCAACTCCCTTGCCTTGGCCTCTCAAAGTGCTGGGATTATAGTCATGAGCCATCAAGCCTAGGCAAATATGCTTTTGATATAAAGAATGATTACATAGAAATTTCAATAGCAATCCCCAAAAATTCTGCTTGACATTCCCTTTGAAGTCTGGCACTAGACAAGGATGCCCTCTCTCACCACTCCTATTCAATATAGTACTGGAAGTTCTAGCCAGAGTAATCAGGCAAGAAAAAGAAATAAAGGGTATTCAAATAGGAAAGGAGGAAGTCAAATTGTCTCTATTTGCAGATGACATGAATGTATATCTAGAAGACCCCATCGTCTCAACCCAAAGTTTCCTGAAGCTGATAAGCAACTTCAGCAAAGTCTCAGGATACAAAATCAATGTGCAAAAATCACAAGCATTCCTACACACCAATAACAGACTTAAAGAGAGCCAAATCAAGAATGTACTGCCATTCACAATTGCTACAAAGAGAATAAAACACCTAGGAATACAGCTAACAAGGAACGTAAAGGACCTCTTCAAGGAGAACTACAAGCCACTGCTCAATGAAATAAGAGAGGACACAAACAGATGGAGAAACATTCCATGTTCGTGGTTAGGAAGAATCAATATCGTGAAAATGGCCATACTGCCCAAAGTGATTTACAGATTCAACGCTATCCCCATCAAGTTACCAATGACCTTCTTCACAGAACTGGAAAAAAACACCTTAAACTTCATATGGAACCAAAAGAGAGCCCGAATAGCCAAGTCAATTCTAAGCAAAAAGAACAAAGCAGGGGGCATCACACTACCAGACTTCAAACTATACTACAAAGCTACAGTAATCAAAACAGCATGGTACTGGTACCAAAACAGAGATATAGGCCAATGGAATAGAACAGAGGCACCAGAGGCAACACAACATATCTACAACCATTTGATCTTTGACAAACCTGACAAAAACGAGCAATGGGGAAAAGATTCCCTGTTTAATAAATGGTGTTGGGAAAACTGGCTAGCCATGTGCAGAAAGCAGAAACTGGACCCCTTCCTGACACCTTACGCTAAAATTAACTCCAGATGGATTAAAGACTTAAACATAAGACCTAACATCATAAAAACCCTAGAAGAAAATCTAGGCAAAACCATTCAGGACATAGGTGTAAGCAAGGACTTCATGACCAAAACACCAAAAGCATTGGCAACAAAAGCCAAAATAGACAAATGGGACCTAATCAAACTCCACAGCTTCTGCACAGCAAAAGAAACAGTCATTAGAGTGAATCAGCAACCAACAGAATGGGAAAAAACTTTTGCAGTTTACCCAACTGACAAAGGGCTGATATCCAGAATTTACAAAGAACTAAACCAGATTTACAAGAATAAAACAAACAAGCCCATTCAAAAGTGGGCAAATGATATGAACAGATACTTTACAAAAGAAGACATACATGAGGCCCACAAACATATGAAAAAATGCTCATCATCACTGGTCATTAGAGAAATGCAAATCAAAACTACACTGAGATACCATCTCATGCCAGTTAGAATGGCGATCATTAAAAAATCTGGAGACAACAGATGCTGGAGAGGATGTGGAGAAATAGGAACACTTTTACACTGTTGGTGGGACTGTAAATTAGTTCAACCATTGTGGAAGACAGTGTGGCGATTCCTCAAGGACCTAGAAATAGAAATTCCATTTGACCCAGCAATCCCATTACTGGGTATATATTCAAAGGATTATAAATCGCTCTACTATAAGGACACATGCACACAAATGTTCATTGCAGCACAGTTTACAATAGCAAAGACCTGGAGCCAACCCAAATGCCCATCGATGATAGACTGGACAAGGAAAATGTGGCATATATACACCATGGAATATTACACAGCCATCAAAAATGATGAGTTCATATCCTTTGTAGGGACATTGATGAACCTGGAAGTCATCATTCTCAGCAAACTGACAAAGGAGCAGAAAATCAAACACCGCATGTTCTCACTCATAGGCGGGTGTTGAACAATGAGAACACATGGACACAGGGAGGGGAGCACTACACACTGGGGTCTGTTGGAGGGAAATAGGGAAATAGGGGAGGGACAGCGGGGGTTGGGGAGTTGGGGGGAATGACATGGGGAGAAATGCCGGATATAGGTGAGGGGGAGGAAGGCAGCAAATCACACTGCCACGTGCGTACCTATGCAACAATCTTGCATGTTCTTCACATGTACCCCAAAACCTAAAATGCAATAAAAAAAAAATTCTGCTTGAGATTAACTAGAATATACATTGTTATTTTATGTTATAGTTTTTTCTTACCAGTGACTATCACAAATAGAAAATCGAAATTAAAATCTCTTGCTAATTTCTGTTTATTCTGTGATCTTCTGACATGTGAGTTGAAAATGTTTCTTTCAGTTCAGATTTGATTGAACATCTGTTCTGTGGAGTGCCTACTCACTGCAGATAAAAGGCGAAGGAGGCTTCCTTCCATTTAGGTTGCTCAGAGTGAAGACACACCTCATTTTAGTCATCCAATATGAATTGAGTGGCAACTCATTGCCATAAATATCTCCACATCTCCTGTTCCTCTCTACTCCAACCACAGTCCCTGCCCCTATATCCTCAGCATTTTCCCAGTGCCCTTTGAATTCTTTCTCAAGTGACTCTTCCTTTCTTTAAATCTCTCATGAATTCCCAAAGCTTTTGTTACAAGGAGGAAGATTCAGCTGGGCAGGATCCCAGGGGATCTAGGGCTGGTTCTAAACTGATGACCTTTTAGCACACATCTCTTATATCTGTACTCAGTCCCAAAATAACACCCTAGGAAGAGGGAACACATAGAGCAGGTGTTAGATACAAAATAAAGAAACACTACTAATCAGTGACTGTTATTGGAAATTGTATGTTTATGCAAGTAGGGGATGATTTTGGCCAGTTTATCTCATTTTGAGGAAGATAAACCTTCATTACAGTTATGACTGAAGACTCCATTGAAATCATAAACTAAACTAAACTACATAAAGGAATAAAGATCTAGTTCCAGGGGATTTCATTTTCTAATTTTTTCTGAGCAAGAGGTCTATTGAAACTTTGATCTCATAGCAGCTGCTATGCTGGTCCCCAGCAGGAAACCAAAGACTCTACTTTTGAAGTGTCAATAGACAACTTTTCCTTGTTATTAAAAAAAAAAACATATACTTTCCAGCCACTACAAAAGTAAAAATTTCCCCCCGACTCTCCCTGGAGAATGCATGAACAGAAAACTGAATGCATCTGTTCTGGTGCTACTTCGAGGTAAGAAAGATAAAGCAAAAAAGAAAAAAAGAAAAGGAAACCTGAATTCAAAAGGAAAAATAGCCCACTATTCTCTAGGCCAACAGTATAATTGCTTCTTACTTAGGAGAAATAGTTGTTACTTTATTTTATTAAAACTATGGGTAAGGTCAAGTTTAGCTGGAACTGTGAACTGGATCTTTACCTTCAGCATTGGCCCAGCCTCCTCCCTGGGCCTCTCATATTTATTTTGGCAAACCCATTCCTCTAAAGCACTTAGAGCGTCGTGGTCTTCTTCCAGGCCCAGAGAGCTGCCAGGCCTTTAAAAAGAGAAGAGTCATTGGCAGATTCTATAAAATTGAAAGTCAAATTCACTCTGTCTCTGGTAATATCAAAGTTAGTTTATTCTGGAGAGAAAAAAAAAATAGTAATTTGTTGCTCACTATTGTGGAGGCTGGGAAGTTCAAGATCAAGCTCCCAGGAGATTTGGTGTCTGATTTGCGCTCATTTTTCATAGGTGGTGATTTCTACATGTCCTCACATGGAAATGGGGCAGACTTTCTCAAGCCTCTTTTATAAGGACATTAGTCCCATTCATGAGGGTAGAGCCCTCATGACCTAATCACCTCCCAAAGTCTCTACCTCTTCTTACTATTGCACTGGAGATTAGGTTTCAACATTGAATTTTGGTGGGACACAAACATTCAGATCACAGCAAGAGGCATGCATAAAAGCAAAAGCATATACCAATTTGTGACTATATACATAGAAAAAATATACTAACTTTAAAAAGCCAAAATAGCTATATATAGTTATATTAATGTCAAGCAAAATAGACGTTATAACAAATGACCTAGTACTACAGGTATTAATATGGTTGATTCTTACAAATATAATGTCAAGTTAAAGAAAAATACATACAGGAAAAAATGTACTTATGTAAAGTTAAAGAATATACAGAATTGTTACATAATATTGAGCAATGTTTGCATATGTCATAATTAATTGGCGAGGAAACACAAACAGCCTTGGCAGTATTTGTCTAGCCATGAGTAGTCACTTTATTATTTTCTATACCCTTTGGTACGTTTTATATTATTAATTCCCTCTATATTACACATTGGTTTACCTGAAATATACATATATATAATATTCATAATATATCTTTTAAATAAATAAATGAAAGTTAGAAGTGTTAATATTTTGATTTGTTTTAAAAATTATGACTCTGTTTTTAAACCAGAGAAGATTTCTGGCAACGTAATCTGGAAATAAAACTGCACTTGCCAGCTGCCTTTAAATTATACTGCTCATTTTCTCTATCTTTCAGACTTGTAATCAGAGACAGGTCTGGACATGTGAGTTTTAGTTTTCCACTGTGCACTTATAATTACCACCAAAATAGCTATACTCTCTGATGGGCTCCAAATGCATTGCCTAAAGCTTATTGCTTAGTGGGTTTACTTTCTAAATTGTTTGCTTCAACTGATCCTCTAAGAGTCAGAGACGCAGGGATCTAAAAGATGAAATAACCAAAACTTACCTGCTTGAGTACTTCCCTGGCCAAGCCAATCAGTGCCTCACTCTCTCTTTCTGTCTCTGGCTTTTCTCCTTCATTTTCTCTCTCTCTGTCTCTCCTTTTCTTAACATAGAAAAGGGAATGAAGAAACAGAAACTGTGCAGCCCTGGTCTCCCTGGGATCCTTTCCACAATTCAGTCATTAGCTCATCTGCCTTGTATTTTACCATTAGGACTCTAGGAGCAAACTGATTACTGGATAATTCCTGTATGCTCAAGTCAGGATCTAGTCAAAAATGGAATCATAATTCACAGCTAATTTACAGGAATAAAAGCTGTTATTTTTCCTGTCAGATGTCCTATAAATTGTAGTTTATTTTCCCAGTAGAATTATACAAGTGGAGCTTTGTTATTATTGTTTTTAACTGGTTTGAGTACATTATGTTTTAATAAGTCATTTGGTCATTAGCAGTCCATACCTTGTGAACGAAGCCACATGGTGAAACAGGTTATGCAAACCTAATTAGCCCTACTGGGAGTTTGAGGATGAATAATTGACTCCCTAGATGCCTCACTGTAGCACTGTTATGTGGCATTTTTCTATGATGTGGGTGGAAAAGTAACTTATATATTTTACCTTTTTCCATAATTAGGAAAATGGCAGCAGGGGTCAATTTTAAGACATCTGAATTCATTACACAGTTCCCAATTAATTTGAAGGAAGCAGTTCATGATATATGCAAACATTTACCTGTTTTTGCAACTGTGTTTGTAAAATTGTGTAGCTATGCTTGAAATACTTTTTAAAAATTGAAAGAACTTGAATATCCAAAAATGAGGGCTTTATTAAGTAAAGTATGACATATTCATGTAATGAAACATCCTTTTAAAATAACGTTTTAAAATAATATTTACTGGCAAAGAAATAGGTTTATAATATATTGATAAATAAAAGAAGCATGACGTCTTTTTATGTTTATGAATGACAATAATACGAAATCTGAAGAATATACAATAAGATGAAGATAACAGTGATTACCTCCAGGCTGTTGTTTTTTTAAGTGACTTTTAAATTCTATTTTACTTATCTAAATCTTCCAATTATTTCCTAGCAATCATATATTCATATATTACCTGTGTAATAAAAATAAAACAAAGAAATCTACTGGATATAAATCCACTTAAATTAAAATATGGAAGGGGATAGTCAAGTAGAAATAAAGTTTTGATTTTTAAAGATAGAATAGCACTTCGGAATGTAAAATCTCAATTTTCTTCCTGCATTAGGTACATGACAAAAGGGATTGCTGGTGATATGATTTGGCTGTGTCCTCCCTCAAATCTCATCTTGAATTGTAGTTCTCATAATCCCCACGTGTCATGGGAGGGTCCTAGTGAGAGGTAATTGAATCATGGGGGCAGTTACCCTCATGCTGTTCTCATGATAGTGAGCGAGTTCTCATGAGTTCTGATTGTTTTAAATGGGGCTTTCCCACTTTGCTTGGCAGGTCTCCTTGCTGCCATGTGAAGAAGGATGTGCCTTCTTCCCCTTCTGCCATTATTGTCAGTTTCCTGAGGCCTGCCAGGCCACGCTGAACTACGAGTCAATTAAACCTCTTTCCTCTATAAATTACCCACTCTCAGGTATGTCTCTACTAGCAGCATGAGAAAAGACTAATACAACTGGTAACAAGAAGCAAAATTACTAGAAAATTTTGTGTCAGCCTTTTCCAAAAGTAAGATTTACAAGATAGTACCAGCTAAAGTAGGGACTAGATGAGATTAGTCAAATCCAGCAGCTACTAATTAATTCAAGGGCCAAATCTCCTTATTATTCTGATTTACCAGCCAACCAGATAAGGTACACTCAAAGAACTTCATAAATTGTGACAGTTGTTAACAATAGGATTGGACACTTGGGAATGCCCAAGGTAAAGATGGAGCCTCCAGCCTAAGAAAAAATAGAATTATATAGAATATAGAATTATTTATATATATATCTTAATATAGAATTATTTTTATGGATTTTCACTTCCTTAAAGAGTACATGGCTTTAGGCAATGCACTTTGATGCATGTGGTAAAAATAACCATTGTAATTTTTTTTTTCTTGGACTAGTTGGTTCTCCCACTGAAAAGAGATGAGGAATTAAAAAAAAAAAGGTGGTTTGAATTCAAAATGGGTTCACATTTATAAAAATGAGATTTGTCTTTCTTCTAACTTTATTATATTAGTAGCATGTCATCTAGGTGCCTTGGGATAGTAGTAAACTCTACAGATATAAATACACGAAGAATTACGATAAAATATTTTCTTAAAATCTGAGCATTTTCAATCAGTTTTTGCATTTGGTACTATAGCAGTCTCTGAGAGATCTCTAAGCTTTCATTGTTCACTTACTTTGGCTGAGTGAATTTTTGAAATTAACTTTGTGGTTTTGAAAACATCAATATGATCCTGTCTTTCACACCAAACTACCTATACTTAAAAATATAACTGACACTCCATTATTAAAATAGAAATTCTTAATTTTATGGTGAGACTGCAGATTTACTCACACAACATTCAGATGTGTAAAAAAACAAAAACAAAACAACAGAAAAAGCTCTTTTATTTTCTATTAACTGATCTGGTCTTACTTAAAATACCTCACCCTGAGAGGTATCAGAAGGAAAAGAATCTGGTAAGTCAAAAGATGGAGAAATTTTGGTGCATGCCCATTTAAGCAGTCTCTAAGTAACTTGGGCTATTTAAATGAGTCAGGAAAATGCCAAATCAGAGTTCTGTCCTCTCTCTAACCCTTCCTCCTAGATGACAATGAAATTTATGAGAGAAATGGAGATAACACATGATCTCATGCTGCTGGAGGACAGAGAAATAACTCTTTGAAACCCCACAGGGTTTCGTGGGTCCTGGCTGGCCTGTGCATGAGTGGTTGTTCTGGGACCCTCCCAGTAGTGATCATAAGGTGCTACTGATCTCATCATCCTTCTTTTCTGCTAGCCTTGATTTCACCAAATCCCCAGGCATTATGCCCTCTTTGCTTCATGTTAGGCTCTCCAGGTCTCCCAGTTCACCTTGTATCCTCAATATCAAAATACCAGGCCAAGCGTGGTGGCTCACGCCTGTAATCCCAACACTTTGGGAGGCCAAGGCAGGTGAATCACCTGAGGTCAGGAGTTCAAGACCAACCTGGGCAACATGGTAAAAGCCCACTTCTACTAAAAATACAAAACTTAGCCAGGCATGCTGGCGGGTGCCTATAGTCCCAGCTACTTGGGAGGCTGAAGCAGGAGAATTGCTTGAACTTGGAAGGTGGAGGTTGCAGTGAGCTGAGATTCCACCACTGCACTCCAGCCTGGGTGACAGGATGAGACTCTGTCTCAATAATAATAATAATAATAATAATAACAACAACATAAAGATGTGTCTCTGCCTCTTTTATATCACATTCCCCACTCCAAGTAAACAGATGTCTTATGCTGGCATATACACATTGTGTTCATGAAAAGGAAAAGAGAAAAAGATGCATTATTTTTCAGATTGGAATATCTGCTTGCTGCTAGTCTACTCCTCTGGTCTTATTTGGCAGCATATAATTCTAGCCATACAGGTGTTTTATCAGTGTCATTCAAACTTTCACTTCCTGCCATGATGGAATAGACTTAATTTACCCTTCCATGTGAAACAACCACAAAAGTGGACAAGACATGAAACAATGGCTTGTAGACACTGGTAGCACAGGACTGCAATTCCTGAGACAAGGAAAGCAAACAAGGTGAGCCCTGCAGTTGGATCAGCT